TCATCATCATCATCATCATCATCATCATCATCATCATCCTCCTCCTCCTCCTCATCATCATCATCATCATCATCATCGGACCATCATTGGAGCTTGAGATGGTATAAGAACTTTGTAAATGAAGAGCTCAGCCCACATTGCCGAAGATGCGGCCATGAAAAGGAGGAATGTCCAGGAACAACGGCAATTCGAATGGAGTTTTTTGGTCTAGTGGAGATGCCTCTAAACATATTGACAATGGAGCCGAAAAAGAGCCTCGCTCTCGTTCGAAGATTTCTTCGTGGAGTCCACCAGGCCCATGAAGGAAACAAATAGAAAATCATCATCATCATTATGATGATCATTATCATCATCGCGTCGTCGTCGTCGTTGAATAGCAGAATTCCCCACCAAGACCACTCTCATAAAATATAAAAAGAACAATACGCGAGGTTTTTCATTGCTTTGGTAGTGGAAATGCGGAAAAAAGATTAAACAAAATCTTTTAAAAAAGAAATAACATGCATTTTCGAAAACTTTATCAACTAAGTATATAACATTAACCCCCCTTATTTTTCAACCCAGAGTAAACTTTAATGACTGACCATACCTCATCGAAAGTCATTATCGACTCTCATGGAAAGGAGGCATACAGTAAATGTTGCCACCTTTTCTTATCTTGAAGTCAGGTAAGACTAAATTTAATTATGTCGTGTGCCATCAATACACGTTGCATTACAACAGGTTTAATGAACAAGTGAATTGAATAAAGCCATTTTACAGATGTGAAACATCCACAGCCACATTGTGTTATTACCTTATAAATGTTCTTCTTCAGAATGTTGATTTAAAAATATTCTTCAGATATTGGGACATTTTGCATTGTTCAGATTACAGGGTCGTACGTCCAGTTTTTCAACAATCATACTCACTGCTCTCTGTTGAGGGTATTTTTTCCCCCCGTAACTGCGTCTTTGATTATTGACTCTTTTCTCAGAGATATGAAGAGAAGTGGAATACTTGTTTTTATGTACAATAAATATACACGAAGGATGCCCAATTTCGTTTGCCCTGTTTGAGTAAAGAGAAGCACATCGACATAATAGTGGTCATTTAGTTTTAGGAACAAGTAAGCCAGTCAGACGTACAGGAATAACAGAAGGAATTTAAACCAGTAGGACCTACAGATAGCATTTTCCAAAAACTTGCTATGATGCTCAGACCGTGTGAACCCCCCCCCCTGCCTAAAAAAATCAAAATGAAAGGACGGGATTTACAACCATGTTATTTCTAAGGTTGCTAAGTGATGTATAACAGAGCTAAAAGCGATAATAATTTCGGGACGTCAGACAGTGTGAAATGCTATTTGATCTCAAGAATTTACTGACACATTTCAAGAAAAATGACATCATCAAAATCACATCATTCGTTAAAAAAACTAAACAGACAAGGCAACTGACAAGACATTTCAGAGGTTATGAGGCTTTCACAATACCGAGATGCTCGTCATGAATTTTACAGAATATTTCTCATTTGTGTCACGACGCGGAGGGATCAGGCGCTCGTCAAGGTTTGGGCATGTTGTAATCTTACAACTCGTCAATTTGTCTTGCTTTTGATGGAACATAATATACGTATATATCTTGAATAGAAGTCAATGTATTATAGGTTGAAGGACGTGGGGGTCATTTGGTTTCCAAAGTAAAATTCGCGACAAAATAGCCACCACAGTTTGGTGACATCCATAGCTTGGGAGTCTTTGAGAACGGGAAATTTACATTTTCTGTGCCTTTAATCAACATTTTTACCGTAAAAGTCACCACAGAAATGCGTTTTTAATGGACATATAAGCCCTCCTCCCTCTTCCCTTAAAAAAAAAAACACAATAAAAAAAGCCCTAAAACATTTTTAAAAAGATAAAATTATCCAAACGAACGGGAAAATGTCCGTTTCTTTGATTTTATTATTTTGACGAGCGCCTGATTTCATCACGGTGCCTCACATTTGTTTTGTAAGAACACAGTGGAGAAAACACTGGAATGAATGCAGCACCATCGAGATATTTACGTCAGGACTAGGTGTGAGATAACGCACACAGTACATGCGCGACACAACTCCATTTAAAATCTGGATCCTCAAATATACGTTGCTACCTTAGAGTTGCAAAGTCCTATCTGTGCTGCTCAGTACCTAGTTTTGAGAAATTTGACGTCACAAATTTTGAATTTCGCAAAATGTCAAGCTTTTTCGAAAGAAATTCTTTGATTATCTTAAAAACGACTCCAAATAACCTTATGATTTTTTATAGAGCAGACAGAACATTTGGTTTCTTATCTCATGGTTTTAATAGTTAAAAACGGCCTAAAATGCTAGGTAGAATTTTGAAATTCTAAGGTAGCAACATAACGTGTTAGTATGTGTACTATTGTATCAGAAAACAACAATGTATTTAAAAAAAATTAAATGGATGCAGTCTTGCTTTAATACCCTGCAAAGCATATCCTATTCTCGTTAAAGCACAAGTAATGAAGCATCAATAAGCGACTGGAACATTTAATTTGTGAAGGGGACCTCGACGCACCTCACCCCTCACTCCAAGAACAAAGGTGCATTGTTACGAGTGTCAATAGTCTCATAAGGCAAAGTTGGCCAAGTCAGGATTTGATTGCGTCTTTTTCCAGTTTAAAGGAACTTAAAAGAAAAAGGGGGTGAAACGTTGGGAGGGGATTGGGGTGAGGGTGGG